TTTAATTTAATTTAATTTAATTTAATTTAATTTAATTTAATTTAATTTAATTTAATTTAATTTAATTTAATTTAATTTAATTTAATTTAATTTAATTTAATTTAATTTAATTTAATTTAATTTAATTTAATTTAATTTAATTTAATTTAATTTAATTTAATTTAATTTAATTTAATTTAATTTAATTTAATTTAATTTAATTTAATTTAATTTAATTTAATTTAATTTAATTTAATTTAATTTAATTTAATTTAATTTAATTTAATTTAATTTAATTTAATTTAATTTAATTTAATTTAATTTAATTTAATTTAATTTAATTTAATTTAATTTAATTTAATTTAATTTAATTTAATTTAATTTAATTTAATTTAATTTAATTTAATTTAATTTAATTTAATTTAATTTAATTTAATTTAATTTAATTTAATTTAATTTAATTTAATTTAATTTAATTTAATTCAATTTAAGTTAAGTAAAGTAAAAAAAAAAATCCCACATTAAAGCGCACACAGCTTCTCCTGGACAAATCTGATGCAGCAACACCAGAACATATTGTGACAAATTGAGCCAAGATGGCGACTATGAATAAATATATTCATTTTCTGATCAGGAAGGTGTGTGTGTGTTCTCTCTCTCTCTCTCTCTCTCTCTCTCTCCAGGGACTCTAATTGAATTCGAGGGAAGATCCCGGCTGCTTCTCGAATGCAGATGCAGTGGAGCTGCAAACAAATCAAGCGTGTCTCAAACGTCTCGTGTCAGACTGTCAGAGTTGAGTGACACGCCGTGAAATTGATTGACGCTTCAGATGTGACGGCCTGAATATTACTGCCACATCAAAGCCGTCATTAGTGTGTGATTAACTGGATGGCTTATGGAAACATCTCCTGAACGCTGTGACCCGATCGCAGTCGTGAATCATGGGTTTATTCGAGGTTCAGTGCTCACCGTCTGAGAGCGTGGTGATGAGCGTGTCTGTCTCGGAGAGGCCGGGCCCGTGCCGATTGACCGCCAGCACTCGTAACGAATACTCTGTGAATTTCTTCAGTCCCTCCATCCTGTAGCTCTGACCCACCACCTCCACATTCTGACCAATAGAGAGAAAGAAACACCACAGTCAGACCACATTATGCTAATGAGCATTCAGTAATATTACTGCCTTACAGACATCACCGACCAATCACCAGCACTCACCAGTCAGGCTTCTGTAACAATGTATCGTAATACTTTCTAATTCTATCTTTTCTAATGTGAGAGTGAAACAGGTCAGACTTGGCTTATAATACTACTAAAGGATTTCCAGCAGCT